TTTATTTGGGTCCCGAAAAATGACAGCATAAAGATTGATTGGTTTCACTGAACTCAGCCTAAAGTCCAGTCCCATTGTTCGTGAACCAAGTAATTCGCTTCCATCGATTGCGAGTCTAAAGTTGATAGAGAGCTGGCAAAACCTGCTACCAGTTAAAAGTAATTATATATAAATGAGGAATGATAGCCAGTGAACCGTCACTTATTATACGTTGAAGAGAGCTTCCGGTTTACTAAGTTTGCAGTGTAAATGTTTAGGACGGTGTCTATATTAGGAGGCATTGAGTACAACGGAAAGTTTCCACGAAGTTTCAAGTAACGTTACACAAGGGTCAAGGTGTACGGCCCCACACTCAAGCGAGCATGGGGCCATTCTCATGTTCGTTTCCGTTCATGAGCCAGTGGCGAAGATTCTACCTTTGCCGTGGCAGTGGCCATTCCAGCCGTACAAATATCATCGTAGATCCCCACAAAGCGGTCGTAATTTTAACCCACCCTGAGGAATGGTGATGGGCCTCGTCAATCCACTTTAGGGATTTAACCTCCGAGGGTGTTTGTTCCAGCTGTGAGCCGCACACTCCTCCGCGCGTAGACTTTAATCCTGCGGTCCGCTCAGCCTCGGCACACTGCGGTAACGTGGGGCAGCAGTAAAGATTAACGAACGGCCATTATTTGCAAGGAATTAAAGAAGCAAGTGATGAATTGATCGTAGAGCCATTTGTCAGCGGGCAGTTGCGTGACTTCGTGTGGTTCTGGGCCACAACAACGCGTATCCAGTGTAATTAGAATCCGATTTCCAAGCGTCTGTTTGTTTAATTTTTCTAAGTTTGAGTTTCTGGCCAGAGTCTGCGTGCAGTCGCTGCGTTTTCTTAAAGTCCCATACCTATTTTGCGCGCAAACATAATTACTTGGGGCAAAAAAAAACCTGAATCCCTTTCGCAACGCTGAGCATTGAACGTTGAAGGTAAAATCTTGCAGTGTTTTATCCCCCCCCCCCTCCCGCCTAACCGCGAGCTCGCAGCAGCAGTGCGATCAGGTAAAACATAAACACCGCTTGGCCTCATTCATGGGCTGATAATATAATGAGCCTACTCCACTGATGCTCCCTGACCCTCACACTGGCAAACAAAAAACCACAACGCTCTCTTAAAATCGCCGTAATTTTTTGTTCTAAGGTTTCCTCACGCACCCCCCGCGTGTGCCCCATTTATAGACGCTCGACATCTCGAATAAAGAAACAGATTAATAAAGGGTTTTTTTTAATCTCATCGGAGGACTAACGGGGCGGTCGGCTGAGCCCTGTGCTGTCCTGGTCGCGACGCGATGTTGAATCGCGAGGCGAACGCCCTCCGTGGCCATGGGGAATTTCTTTTCCATGGCGGTTGCTGGGCACAGACCCGTAGGACCGAAACGCCAAGAGGCCGGCAACAGGAAGAGCACAGTTGGAAGGTGCAATCGATGAGTTAATGCGCTTTCTTGAATTGTGCGAGGTGGTTATAAGGACTTTGCGCGCGAAAGAGACGGATGGGAGCAGTGCGAGGTGTGGTGATCGAACACGGGGTACGGTCGAGACGAAACAGTGAGTCCCATCGACTGAGTCCTAAACATGTTTGGAGGAATCAATGAGCGATGTTCATGTTAAGGAGGTGACTAATCACCGGTGAGCGAGTGACTGGAGCGGATCAACGAGTGAAGTTCACGGGAAGAGTAACCACGGTAGTAGCGATAGAAGAGTGATATGGAGGCAACTGCATTTCGTGTGTAGCAGCAGTGATTGTTCGGCACACCTGGCGACGCCGATACTCACGGTGATTGGGGACGGAGGGGGGGGGGGGGGACGGAGGGGGGGGGATGTGCCGGGCCCGATGCCAGCGTCGCTCCAGGAAAAAAATGTGTTGGGAGCACACTTTCCGACGTTCGCCTCTCTCCCGTTTTATGGCGGAGAGATACGGCAACAGTGAAAGTGCGGTGCGAAAATGAAAAAACCACCACCCCAGCGCGCACGGCTCTCGCTTGAATTCCTGCTCAGCCGGCTGACAAAGTACCGCGTTAAAAGGCAATTACGTCCACGTGTAACGCACATTCTGTTCTTAGAGCGCGCTCAATTTTCGGACGAGGTGGCTGTTTAATGTGTGGCTTTTTCACATCACCCCAGGCACGCTCACTATGCCAGGCTGTTTGTTACCGTTACAACCGTGGCCAGTGGGATTTATTATTACAATGAGATTTATTTTTTTGGTCTTGGCCACGCGGCCCTTTGCTGCGATTTGTCGCGATCCGTACGACTCGTGTAGCGGGTTTGAAGTTTTTCTCGAAGTTGTCATCTGACCCGTTCCAGATTGCGCGAGTTTAAATGACCGCTAACAAGGAGGCGTCTGTAGCCACTGGGGTTCACAACGCGCGGCGGCTGTGGTCGCGATTTCTGAGAACTCTGCAGACACACTTTCTGCAGCTGTTAATTGCCTCTCAGAATCTCATGCAATAGCTACGGCATCGCAGTTTGATAACGAAATTCCCAAGTGAGCAAAGTAAAATAACAAGCTGGCAAAGCCAGTCCATTAATGGAGGCTCCATTCCAGGCACTCGGACGCCTTATAACGCACAAGCGCTGATCGCATTAATACATCTGAAAACTTGTTTTTATACCTATGCGTGCAAATTCTTTTTTTTTCTTTACCAATCTTGCCCAGTTTTATATTGGGAAGCAATGTGCTAAGGTGTTTAGCAAATTATTTGGGGGTGTTTTGTGAAAGCACATGAAGCATCCTCCGACGGATGGACGGATTGGACGGACGAAATATTTCCAGAGCATAGCAGTAAGCGGCCAGTCTGATCCCTTAACAAGGATCAGCAAGGATTTCAGCCAACTTTTGAACGATGGCAGCCGGTCGAGAAATCCTCTGAGTAACGCCCGTCTCGATTTGTCAGCGTCGGTCTGCATGGCTTGAGTTTGCGAGGGAGGGGAGGTGGGGGGTACGGAGGGGGGGTGGGGGGTGGGGCTACTGGTTGCTGGCCGCCGCTGTTGCCGCTGTTTATTCAAAATGTCTCCAAGAGTTCGTCAACGTCTCAAACGACGTGCGCGCAGTTTTCGGTGACAGATGGAGGAAATGGATGGTGGTGTCAACCTCCTTCCACCACCCCCCCTCCCTCCTCCACCACCCCTCCCCGCCCCCATCCATTCCTTAGGTAATTTATATTAGAGAAACATGCAGCGTGGGTTAATTGTGTAACCTTATCATTCAATCTATACCCGTGCGTTTAGGCAGCGCCATTAATCTGTTAGCCAAAGGACTTGGCTTTAAAGTGGTTTAGGGGGGGTTTGCGTTCAGGGCCAGAGGTGCTGTTGCCGCCGTGGGGTGGGGCGAGTGTCACCGCCAAACACGTCACTTGCGTTGGCATCCCAGCATCCCCTCCGGGCTGTGGGGGATGATGATGGGGGGGGGGTTGTTTTTATGATCGTGACCCTGACCTTAACTTAACTCTTGACCTCAACTTTTTACTTATTTTCGTCTTCTTTTAAACGTTAATCCTGTTGTGCTCACGAGTTGGAAGTGTCCATTCAGAAAGTCTCGCAGAGCAGTGATTCGCCCCGCGCGTTAGAAAAACGGCCCGCGGAAGGAGACATCACAGAACTGCTTTAAAAATTCCTTCAAGTGACTTTTTTATATCACCGGTCTTTCCAGCTGCACCCCTTCTACAGATAAATATTTGTAGATTAAGTGAAAATGGTGAAAAAAAATTCGCGATTATTTTTTGTGCAAGTTATTGGGTGACCAGGCTGAGACACACTCCGACTCGCTACATTTGAGTAACCGGTTTAGTTGCGAGCGACCAAACCTCAGATTGGAACCCGGTATCCCAGCGCTGTGATCCCTGAGCCACTCAGCCACTCTGACCTTTATGGCTACAGCTACCTCTCGTTTTACGCGGGGGTTGTGTTCTTCAAAAATGGCGCGTGAATTAAAATCACGTAAATTAAACATAATTTTCCCATAAGAAATATAGGCAATGGTTGGGGTTAGGGAGAGCACACGATCGAATCTTACGTATTTTACTGGTTACAGTACATATTATATTTACAATACTGCCATTCATGTCTTAAATATAGTAGCAACCTATTAATGAAAACGTATATATTTTTAACACGTAGTGAGATGCTTACCGGACATTGGTAGGCAAATGTGTGCACAAGACAAAGGTCACGTGGACAGGATCTTCAAAATGGCGAGCGAGAAGGAGATGCTGATGCTGCCCGCGCTGTTGGTTGTCGTACTGCACCTCGGGCAACATCGCTACTGAACTTTGCTGCCCGACTAACGATTAGCTCGCAACACGTTCCATACACCATGGCCAATGCACTGGAGTGCGTCCATTCAATAATAGTGCGCGAATAACAAAAATAAGTCTGAATGAATCTCACGCGCTAAAATCGCGTTACGTAAACGCACGTAAAACGCGAGGTAATTGTGAGCCAAAGTCCATGGGCGATGGAGCCTCTGGGAGCCCTTCAACTCTGTGTGGCCGGTGCTGAGATTCACACAGAGCCAACAACCCCTTCCTCCTGCCCACGTGCATTCTCTCCATCGTAGCATCTTGTGTACGCACCCCCATGACTCCACACCCACCAGCCTCCGCCACACATTATAGCACAGCTGTCCATATGTACACAATGCTAATATTCACTATTATAATTTATCGCCCTTTTGTCAATGCATTTCTGGATTCAGTCTTCCCTCGCGTCAGTTTTACAACATGTTTGACCTTATTTGCGGGTTGGTGAGGGGTGGAGGTGCCAGGATTGGTTCACATATCATGTGCTGCTGGTGTCAGACAAGGTCTCAGGACTTGGACTCGGATGGCAAACTTCGTAGTGCAGCGCGTTATCCCCTGAGTGGCCGCTTTCCTCCATATGTACATTGGCATGTCATGCGCATGTGTGTGTGGGTGTGTATTTTAAGTATTAATTTTGTTCTAACATTTTTACTCTGTTCTGTTTTTCAGGGGCAGCCTGGCTCGCGAGGTTTCCCAGGATTTCCGGTGTGTGGAAAACTCGGCAACCTGATTTAAAAGTCGTTCAAATAATGTTCCAAAATAAACCATAAGAGCAATGAAAGCGGGCCATGGGGCTCACGGGGCTCACGCTGGGGCAGAGCACTTGAGCCGGCACTCACTGCTGTGAATCCTAGATTCGAGTCCAGGTAGCCTCCCGTGATTGAAATGGGTTGTCAGGTGTAGCGGAGTTGATCATCTCATCCAATGACTGCAGGGGGAAAACATCGTGTTCAAAATTATTTTTTTTCAATCTCGGAGAATTTAATATTTTGGCTATGATTGTCACGTGACGAACACCCTTTGCAGGGCAACTAAAAGTTGTTCCCTTGCGTTGATAAAGAGGCGGATTGAAGTGACTTCAGAAGTGGTGTTCTGTCATTGCATCTGCCAGGGCCGTGCTCTGACGCGAGGTGTTTCACTGCTGTCTGCGAGAGTTTCCGAATGGAAATTTCTTCGTTCCATGGCACGATGCCGTTAGCGAAAGCAAAAAACGACTCATAAAATCAAAATCAGCAAACAACAACAATCCCTCATTTACTTTGATTTCACATCGACTAACGCCCGCCTGGTTTGTGTGTTCTTTTTGCCGTGGCACCCCAACTGACGCTTTTGCCCCTCGGCAGCTCGCGTTTGCCACCGCCTCCCTGCTGACCTGTCCGGAAATAAAACCTGAACCTGGCAAACCCCCCACGGACTCCGTTGCATTGCATCTACTACTAATGTCTGTCCTCCAGCCCCGCCGGCCGCGCGATTCTCTCGCCGGCCGGTTGCACTGGGGCACTGTTTGAGAAATCCTTCAACGTTGCCGCGGTTTTAATTTGAGTTTGAGCACCGCTAGCCCCCCCCCCCCCCCGGCACTACCCCCCCCCCCACCCCCACCACCCCACCCATTGCTCTTTGAGTGGCTGTAACATTTAAGCTCTTGGCGCTGGTGATCCTCAGGTGTTCTAATTAATTTTCTGTTGACCGAGCCAGACATTTCCATGTTGTAGGAAACAAAGCAAAGTGCTTAGGGGGCAGACCAGAAGGAAAGATCGGCCACCTTCATCATTGGCACTGCCTCGTGACAGGAATCGATCCCCTGACAGAGCTAACATTAACAACATTGGTTCTTCAACTTCAGAGCAATGGCAATTATTCTCTGTCGTGACGAAGAATCGTAGCCCAAGATGTTTGCCAAACAATGTTATGCTATAGCGTGGTATTATTAACGAAGATGGTGAGTTTCATTTTTATTTTGTTATCTGTGCTTGTGCACCACTGTCAAAAGATTTCCTTTGTGGGTTTTGGGATTTTTTTTTTATTATTTCAAAGCGCTCCGGATCATTCTTTTTGTTTTTATTGTATTTCCGTTCGTGAGCGTTTCCTGCGGTCGGTGCGATCGTTTTTTGCCGATTTATCCGCCCCGCAAGTCCACAACTCAATTCACCGATTTAACCCCCCTTCCATCCAGACATAATCCTACTGCCAGTGCCAACAGCTTACCGCAGAGGCACTCACGTCCTTTAGAAAAAATATTTCACCTATTTGTAATATCTACTGACCCATTATGCAAGAATCTCCTGAAAGCGATCATCTGAGATGGATGAGGGAAAATAACCGCAGACGTTTAAAATATTAAGGATAACATTAAAACACCAAAACGCTTCCAGGGTGCCGGTTAGGTTCCCGACTCTCCAAATGTTTGGCCGCGTGAGCTGCGTTCCGAGCGAACCGAGCCAACGGCAGATGCGAGAATCTCTGCCTGCGTTATAAAACCCGAGAAATGTTTAAACGCATTTAAGGGAAACGGATATGAATGCCTTAACAGCCACCGGCTAATGCCAAAAGTAGTCTTTAGCCTTTTTAGCGCAAACACGGGGTTTTGTCGACAAAATTCGCTTCAGTGGACATCCGGGCGGGCCCTCTAGCGGCAGAGGCAGCAGGATCAGACACGAGCCCTCGTCTTCGCCGACGTAAACCACAACGCGCGGTGCTGTGCAGGCAATACGAGCGATAGGTTCAGCGTGACGGCCTTCGCTATCCTTTATTGTCGGAGTTACGGATGGGTGGTGGGGGCGGGGTTGTTTTACTGAACATATATATGCAAACATATTGCACGCATAGGAATAGAGATGTTTTCCCGGTTGGTTATCTTCATGTCAGAGTTGCGCTGAGCATGTGCTAAAGGCCCCCCCCCCCCCCCATTTGTTCCGCTGGCTGGGAAGTGGCATCCGTGCAGCATGGGGGGGGGTGGGGGGGGACTGGCACCCATGGAGCATTTTTTAATACTTCAGAGAAAAGTTCACTTGGCCCGGAAAAAGATTAAAGCTCCGTTTCACAGCTGCGATTGAGAGATGTGTGTGTGTGTGTGTTTTTGTGCATATTTTAAGAAGCCGGGAGTGAGGCATTGGGGAAGCGGGTGGATGGTCGCAGAGCTTTAAGGGAAGAAATGTCAAACATCCATAGCGGTGCAATGCAGATGTTCAGACAACTTGTCACAATAACCCGACGATGGAGACAGCTTGAGGAGAAGCGCAGACGGTGTGATGTCCCTCCTCGCGAAATCCGTCTTTCTGTGTGTTGTGGCTCTGTCCACGTGTAAGCATCAACACTGGGGCGTGGTGTTGGCCACCCACCCCCTCGTGTGCCATGCTGGTCTTCATAGGTGCCCGCTGGCAGCACTTTTCCCCAACAGTCTGATGAAAGCTATACAAGGGACCTTTTGGCGTATTTTTAAGTCGTCGTTTTGAATTCAAGATGCGCGTGTAATATGGCGAATAGCGAGTTTAGAATAAGCATGAGCAGTCCGCTGCTGTCACGGGATATTACCAGTGCCGGATTATCCTAGTAGCAGAAGTAGCATATGCTACGGGCCCCGCAATTTCAAGGGCCCCGCGCTAAATGCTTTCAAGCTATCAATTTTGGATCAGTGATTCTGCACTTGCTCGATTACTATAGTACTAAACCGCCTTCAACTTTTATGAACGACTGAGTGTTTGAGGTTAGCGATTTGTCGTATTATCTGGGCTGTATAGCAAATGAAAAAATACAATTACTTTACTATGCAAGTACAAAAATGTGGTGTTTTAATATTTACGTGGTTTTTTTTATTTAGGGCCCCTTTATAACATATGCTACAGGCCCCGCACTAGCTTAATCCGTCACGGGATATCACGTGTGAGATGGGGAATGGACAGCGCGTGGCAGGACAAGCATGTGCATAGAGGATCCTGTTTATGCAGATTCACCGTCTGTAGTTTCAACAATGTCTTGAGTATCATCTAGGCCAGTAACTTCACACAGCCTCTCATGAAAAGCATCTGCAACGTGGTCAGTCTTAGTGTGTACCACGTGTTCTCTTAATATATGTATGTCTTTGTTTTATATCTGTGTGTGTATATGTGGGGAGCAGGAGTGTAGCAGTTAGCTTGCTGAGCTACGAACCCCGTTACCTGAGTTTGATTCCCCCTCGCAGCCAACACCAATGATGGCGAAATTAACCAGTCCATTGCCTCCCCTAGGTCGACTCAACCTCAAATAAGTACCTGGTTCGATGTGTAAATATTTGCCACTCGGGAGACAAAGGAATCCGGGCATAGTGCTGGCCCCCCACCCCCTCGTGTGCGGTGCCAGCCTTCATAGGTGTTCGTCTGTTGTTAAGGCTATACGGGGGGTCTTTGCTTGCTATGTTTGTACATCTATTTGTGTGTATTAGTTTATAATGTGTGTGTTTGTGTTTATATGTCTGTTATTATTTACGAATGCAAGTTCATTATTAATCCAAGTGCGTTTCCTAGCCATGTGCAACAATATCAGCAATCAGTATGTCAACATGTTACGGAGCCCTCCACTAGGTTGAGGCTGGAGCCTTAAATGAGTAGCTGATGGCAGTACACTGCTGGACGACGGAGGCCCTCGTTCAGCAGCTGTCTGCCCAACGTGCTGGGCATGTTCACGTTTCCATCTCATTACCGGTCATCCTCGCAACAGCGGCTTTTCGCTGGCCATCGAACAGAGATGTGCTTCTGCGGCCGTCTGGAACGCTCTCTCTCTTCCGACGTTAGGAAGCCACTGGAGCTATGCACTTTTAAATCTAGATTGAAAACTAATTTCTTTAGAACTGCTTTTTGGTGTTTAGTTTGTTGTCCTTCCACCGCACCTCCCGATAGCGCGGTTTGCTATGTACGGTGCGAAAGTAGTTGAACACGCATACAAATGTACTTCTCTCCATGTTAGTCCCAACGCGGATGGCTGCGGGATCAGCGTGTGTGCGCGCGCGGGTATTTGTTTGCTACAAATCTTGGCGCGTGTTGGGGGGGGGGGGCATGGCGTTGCGACGCTCTTGAAGCTTGACAGTGCTCCCCGTATTGCTTTAGCACGGAGCGGAGTCAAACGCCGCCAATTATGGCACGCACAACAACGCGCATGCCCGTGTGCGTCTGCTGTAATCGTTTACCATTGCGTGTGAGCTGTGTTTATCCGTGTTGTTGTTTTGCTGGCAGGAGTTTGCAGTGCCGGACATGCTGGCTGAGCGCTGTTCGTGTCAGGGCTCTGTCGGTGTACGCAAGTGTGTGCGTGCGCGTTCATGGGGAGCGGTAGCGCAGTGGTTAGCACGCTACACTTCGAAACCGGCGACCCAAGTTCAAGTCCCACTCACAACCAATAACAGTGGCAAATGTTTGATCTGCTGGAGTGTGTAAATTTCAGCACTGGGCAGACAAAGGCGGCCGTGCTGTGCCGGCCTTCATAGGTGCTCGCTAACAGCCCTTGTCCCAACAGTCTGTTACAGGCTACACGGGGGGGCTTTGTCTTTGGGGAGTGCTATCAGAGTGTCAAACGCACTGTGCTACAAACCCAGAGGGCCGAATGCTATTCCCAGTCATGGCTAATATCAGTGGCAATTGATGTCTGAACTGGTCCTGGGTCTCCCCTAGGTCGACTTAACCTGAAATTAGTACCTGGTGCGGTGTATAAGCATCAGCACTGGGCCAAAACGAGATGGCTTGGTGTGGTGCCAGCCACACCACCTCCCCGTGCACAGTATCAGTCTTAGCAGATGCCAGCCAACAGTTGCACTGTTCTATAGCTCTAAGCAGGGGATCGTCATCTCTGTGTGTATGCACGTGTGTATAAAACGTTTAAACTATCAAGTACGTGTGATACTGGATGTACCACCCAATTGTGCACCAATGTCAGCCTGCTCACTAACGCTATTGTGCCCCAACAGTATTATACAAGGCTGAGCGAGGCATCTGGCGTGGAAAAGAGGATTTAATTACTTTATAATGATATATGATTATCTCTGGGAGACATTAGTTTGAGCTGTGTTTTGCCGAATGTTGTTCTTTAACGGCTTTGAGACATTTCGCATAAAGATGTAGCCTGCTTGGAGGGTCTTGGCCCGTTGCCACAATTGCTCGGGAAATTGTCATAATTAATGCTTTGGGGCATTAACTCGTTAATTTAAGCCCCGTGGGAATAAGTAATGGTTTGACATTACGTCTGGGCACTTTCTATCCTTTTCCTGGAGCCTTCTTACGATGTGCTGTGTCTGTCTCATCGTAGGCTTACAGCGGCAATGGAAACCCTTGAAACGGATATCTTCACATTTTATTCAATCTTGATTTGAAGCTTTCGTGACTGCAGGAATCCATACTCTGTGGTTCTTTCGGTAAAGTCACGTAGATAGAAAATTAATAGGGCACGACGTTTCGGTCGCAACACAAGCAACCGTCATCAGGTGTGAAACAAACACAGCAGGAAAACTGCTGACGTCAGCAGTTCACACAATACCAGTGGTTTCCCATTTTTTTATGTTTTTACTAAAGGCGTAACTGCCTGGTCAGATTCTCGAACACAGTTGAGCAGTGGAGGGAGCAAGGGGGGGGTGCCACCTAATAATAATATGGATGTGGGGGCAGCCATATCCATGTTATGGAGCGGCACCCATGTCCACACCCTCGGCATAAAGCTCCACGGGTTAAACGAGACCGTGAGAGCAGAATGTGCAGGATCTGACAGCAGGGCGAGGAAGAGTGTGGTGCTGTCAACAGCTTTGCCCGTAATGGCCGTACAGACCCAGTTACCCTGAACTTGAGTGCCACCACAGCCACCCTGGGGAGGCACCTCTGAATGTGGGGTGCATATGGGAAAACATGCCCACTCCGCCCCCCCACCCACAGGCCTACCCGTCCCCATGGAATGAACCCTGTGCCCCCGGGACTTGCTCGCTTGTGTGGTGGTTGGCAACTTGGCTGTGCAAATAAGCAACGCGTCGGCTGGAACAGCGTGCATCTGGGAATTCCCGCGGTAGCGTGGCGGAAATGCGGGGTCAGTTTGGACGTGGGCGCCCACAGAATTGGGAAGGAACGCGAGAACAAACGACCAAAGTTGTGATGAATACCCACTGGGCGCTTGAGGTTGGACTCCCCGCGAGGGCCTTGCCCAACCTGGGAACCCCCCTTGCGAACAGGAGACGGGCAACAGCAGCCACTAAACGCATAATAAACTGTTTATGCACGCGGGACGAAACACGAACCCGCACACGTGCCACCCACCTGCACGTACTCGGCTTGTGGCACCAGTCTGCGTGTGCGCACGTGTGCGTGCGTGTTTGAAAATAATGTAAGAGTGTGGCGAGCGGTGATGCGAAGGGTGGACGGTATTCCCGCTTCCGGCCAACATCAGCGGCGAATGATTGAGAACTTTGTCAAGGCCTCGCCTAAGTCAAATTTGTCGTAAACGAGTAGCTGCTACGGTGTGTGTACATCAGCACCGCGGAAAGACAAAAGATGGTCTTGGCTTGGTGCTGGCCACACGTGCCTCTTCGACCTGCGTACCATGCCAGCCTTAATAGGTACTCGCTAAGGGCACTTGACCCCCAACGATCTACGACTCGACGTGGGATCTGCATTTGAACAAACGCCGTGGTGGCGAGATGTTAACTACCTCACCTGGTATACAGGAGGTCGTGGGTTTGATACCAACCCTGAAGCCTGTAGTTTTGGAGTTTGTATGTCTCTCTCCCCGTGGTCTTTCTCCACATTTAAAAACACGCGTTTAGAGTATTTGGCGACTAAACTTTTTTACATGATAAGCCACTTCATTTGTGGCCAGGTCACTTCTGAAATCGAGCTCTATAGCTCAGTGGGCCTTTAGTGTAATGTAGCGTTATGCACAAGCGGAGGTTTTAGTCAATTGTGCATTGATGATGTAATCTGTTATGAATGCAACTGGGCTCTCTGACCAGGCCGTTACGAGAGAAATCACTTCTCGCTGCCAGAATAACCAATCCTGTTCATATTTGTTTTATGTTTTACTTGTACGTGCGGTCACGGCATCAGCAGTGACTAACTCCAAAGTGCACGATATAAATACACCCACACACACACTTTACATACGTAGCCAGTATGTGTGTGTGTGTGTATGATGATTGCGCACATCGGATTGTTGAATGAAAGGATAATTCACGTGGCTTTAATTCCAACGACTACGCAGTGTTTACGGCATCGCCAGGGCATAACCGATCGTGTTTAGCCATGGGCATGGAGGGAGGGGGGAGGTTGTTTAGAGTTGGAAGGGTGGGAGGGGTTTCGGGGGGGAGGGTGTGTAGGAGAGAAATTGGGAGGGGAGACCCCCCTTTCTGCCCGCCTGCCCCCCAAACGCCGGATGTAACGAGCAGCTCCGCGTGCACCCCCCCCCACCACCCCCTGAGCTGGTGGCAGGCACACGCCACCACCGAAGCAGCTTTTCGGCGACCGATGCATTATTTCGCGAGAGACGAGGACGGCCCTTCCTCTTCCCCTGGTTCTCCTGCCTCACTCCTAACCTCCGCTGGCTTTGCTGCTCTACCTGTCGCTCATTTGTTTCCGTTTCCGATCACCTGTCACTTTCGCCCGATTGTCTATGCTCAAGCTAATGTCCCCCCCCCCGCCCCCCCCCCCCCCGTAATTGTTTGCAGTTGCTCTGTTGAAGCGTCTGTCGTGTTTTTCGCTGTTCCCCGTTTCCCGTTATAATTCTCGCGTGTGTTTGTGTTTTCTCTCTCTCTCTCTTTGTCGTTTGTTTTAGGGCCCAATTGGACTGGATGGAAAGCACGTACGTCAAATATCTCGGCTGCACAGAAGCATAATTGTTTTAACTTTCGATTGTTAATGTAATGGGCGTGCATGTTTAGGTCTGGCTTTTGTACAACAGAATTAAATCCACGGTATTTATACTAGGATTGTTTTAGAGTTTGTGATGGCGCTGTGTGTTTAGTGGACTCGGCCAGGATAACCCCGGCGACTTAAGTTCGATTCACAGCCACGGCTAACATCAGTGGCGAGTGATATTTGAACTGGTGATGCCAAACCCTCCACCCAATCCCAAACTGCCAACTCTCCCACCCTCTTCACCAGTCCGTACTGACCCGCATGGTGAAGTATGGTCAAACTGACCGCCAAGACATGGGGGAGACATTCACCCACCAGTGGATTGATGCAGGGCAGTTGTATATTTATTATGAAAAGTATTCAAACTATGAATACTTAATAAAATATGCAGCGTTCTCAAACAAATGTTGCCGTACTTAGACTATTTTAAACTGTTTTATTTTAACTAAATTCACAAAAAATGTTTAAGTACGTATAAGCAAAGAAGAGGAATTTACATTTATTAAGCAATTGCATGCAACTGCATCTCGCTGGTTTCATTTACAGCTCTGTGATAAATATTCCAATGCCTCGAGTGATTATTCATAGCCCCTTCCCCGCTGTTTATGTTCGCAGGGTCAGCCGGGTACCAAAGGAGAGCTTGTGAGTTGTCTTTTAGTCATCTCGGTCACTACCGCCACCACCACCGTCACCTCCACCACCGCCACTACTGCCACCACCGCCACCACTGCCACCACCATCGCCGCCACCGCTGCCACCGCCACCACCGTCACCGCCACCAACCGCCACCAACCGCCACCACCGCCACCGTCACCATCACCACCGCCACCGTCACCATCACCACCGCCACCACCGGTTTCCCCCACACTCTCACATGGTCCACTGTTTTGAAGCAAGAGTAATAGTGACTGTGTCCACCGCACAGATGGCTCAGAGAAGTCGGACTCTAACAAAGCGACAAGAAGCGACGCCTTTGAATGCGCGTGCACGGAAAAGCAAGTCGACAGTTTGGAATAGAACGTTGCGGGAAAACGTCGACGAAGTCAGAAAGATGAGGTTACAATCTGAGAGACACGTGTGAGGATCGGAGGAGGATAGGATTAAGCAACTTGCAGGCTGGGAATAGAACATGGTGGGAAAGCATTGCAGGGGTCGTGATGGGAGGGACACGTGTGCAGAATAGAGGAGGGCAGGTTACCAATGTGAGCATTGGATTGGCACCCTGTGATTGGGGACCAAGGGAAAAATCTAATGCCAGATGGCAGTGTTGATGATGATGATGATGAGACTGTAAGTATGTTTACTGCACAACAGTTATGGGATCCATTAGCAATGGATGGCCACATAGGGTGCGAAAGAAGTTCAACATACACACATATGTTGGCCGTGATGACCTCTTCACCTCGACCTTGATGTGGCCCATGCATCTCTCAGTTTGGCGCCAATGTCACCCATGTTCGCCGTGCACTCATTAGACAGCCCCGAGGCTGTGTTGAGGCGGCCAATGGGAGAACACGTGACGAATCGAGCTCAAATTGGCAAACTCGCGGAAACGACTTCGATAGAAACCAACTTCAAACGCTGCCACACCGAGTGACGCGCCGCAGCCAACCTTTTGCCGTAACCACTTTGCGGCAGGCTAATAACAGTGCCGTATACAATAACACGATAGTAACGATGGTCAATCACAAACCCCCCACCGCACGCAGCACGCTATCCCTCCGGGTCTCAAATAGCTGTTTTTCCCCAAGAGACGTATGCAACAACAAAAAAGTTCAACATCTTCCTGCAATACATAAGCAAGTAAAAAACAAATCGTGGCGGCCCCGGCGTTGATTGTCGGAGCGGTGACGATGATTAGAGCCGCGCTCCTCGGTTCCGCGAGCCGTGACAGAGGCGCTGATGCTCTTAGCCGCTTTGGGTTTCCGATCGCGCCGGTGACGGATGCTCGGCAAGCGGCCACCGTGGGTGGCACACAGAGAGACGATGGACGCTCAGAATTCGCCAGCCAAATCTGGGCGCGCGGCTCAACCGTGTCGTCTCATCCCTGGCTCAGTCTTGGCTCAGTCGTGGGGCGTCCATCGCTGTGCGGTTTCAGGTGCCCTTCTGCACGCGGCCTTGCCCTGCGTGGTACAGAAGAGTGTCTATGTTAATTGGTGACTGTATACGTTGGCATTTTGCAGTAATGATCTGCTTCGTGTATTGGGTGAAACGGTGGCGCAGTGCTTATTGACGCATTGGGCTACAAACCTGAACACCTGAGTTCGACTCCCAGCCACGGCTAATGACGGTGGCCAGTGATATTCAACCCGTTATTGTACCCCATGGCTGACAGAGTGTTGGAAGGCCTTCATCCAGCAGTGGATTGTTAAATCCCTGAATATCTGCATGCAGCTGGGTGGCTGTGTTGTTTATTCTTGGATTTATTTTCATAGCATTGCGATTCAAATCAATAATTAATTATTTACAGGCATTAAAGAAAATCCCGCTGCTGGATGAAGTCTTCGCCAAGCTGTGTCAGTAATGGGGGGGGGCGGGTTGTATGACCATACTTCACCACACTGATAAGTGCGGGTTGGTCAACAACACTGCTAATCGCAACTCCAAATAACACGGTTGGCTACGTACGGTGCAAAAGAAGTTCAACATACATACAGCAAGCCATTTCAAATGTCATTGGGCAAAATGCCATTGGGCAATGTCAGATCTGAGTATCAGAGCGTTGGGCAGGGTTAGGGAGTAGGAGGGTCGTCCAATTATCGTTTTGCAAGAAAACGCGAGATCCGGGCTCGAGCCATGCCCCCTGTACCAGCGGAGCCCTTTTGGGGCCCGACTCGTGCCCTCCCGCACGAACAGCAGCCCTTGAAGTTGGCCCAAGAAAGGCGCTGAAATTGTTGGGCGGGGGGGGGGGTTAAAGAAAGAATTATCAAGGGGGACGAAAAGCAATTAATGTTGTTTTTTTTCGAAAAAAACAAGAACCCACATCAAATGTTGGTTTTAGAGTTGACCTCGTGACCCCTATACAGCACAGCTCTGCCAGAGCCATTCGTTGAAATTCCCGCAACTCTGTGTCACTGTATTGTTATCGTTAGGCAGCTAGTAAACAGTCGTAATGGGCAGGGCAAACATATACGGAGTGGTCCAGTGAGCAAATACAATACGGGCTTGATGAACAGCTTGATGAAAAGAATTGCAGAGCAAATTAAGTGCCTGCTGCATTCCTGCAACACGGATTAAGGAACATGTTGGAACATCACACGGCTTGCATCCAAAACAATGTTGCATTAATGAAAGACTGCAATCATCATCATCGTCATCATCGCCCAGATTGCTCGGAGGTCTGAGTGCTTGTGACATCTTGCACAATAAGCCTCCATCTCTCATGATCTCGTGCCAGCCTTGACGCATTCACCGCAGTCATTCCAAGCATCGCTCTCGCACCATCTACCCAACACATCTTCTGCATCTTTTCTCCACGTCTTCTTTAAATCATCCCCTCCCTTCCCTCGATCACCTCAATTTTGTAGACCATTATTTGCTCCGTGACCCAAGCATTTTTTCTCAGTCTTCTAACAAGGAATTCCAGCCCAAACTATATTCTACAACACCCAGGGCATTGGTCTTCTACTAGAAGTCCAGCTGACTTCTAGTCGTCTTTAATTGCACCACACCGCTCAAAACTTTGAAACCTTTACGGTCACGTTTGTTAAACACCCAACATAGGAAACGCGTTCGGAAACGCCAGCGATCGCATCATTTTCAACGTTGTCGCCCGTAGAATAGATTTCTCTTTACAAATGGGTGTCAGCGCAATCACCGCCCCCCCCCCCCCCCGCCCGTAGCCATTCCACTCCATCTCCTAGCAGACGGCCACAGGGGGCGTAACCCCGAGGTTCTGGCTAAAATCCACCGCGGGTCAATCAAATCTGCTCTGGCCAAAATATCCGCTTGCTCGTCAGTTCTCGAAATCCCCTCTTCCCCCAACACAAACGAGACCGAGCATCGTCGCCTAACTTGTGCGTTTCAGCAAAAAACTTTCCAGCTAAAATATAATTTAAGGAAAATAAATATATTTTTAAAAATGCAACATTCTAAGGAAAACGGGTCATCATTTCCATGCAGCGCACGCGTGGAACCAGCAGCACTTGCAAAACGCACACGGAATGGCCGGGCCTCTCTCGCGATGGCGCCATCAGCGCTAGCGAGGAATATTTATCGGGCGATTGCAAGCCGGAATGGAGCCGAGTCTGGCCAAAATGAAGCCCACGTCTGGCTGGACGTCAGTCTGGCCCCACCGGCCCACTGGGGGGGGGGGGAGGCGCAGGGGGAGCCCGCCGGTGTCGGAGGTCTGGCCGCTGGCCCGGGGCTCAACAGCCCTCGCCGGCACGGAGCGCTGGCCCCCCGTGGGACTCCAGCCGCCTGGGGGCCCGCTCGACCCCCTCGAGCCTGTTTCGTATCTTTACGGGAAATTCGAGCTCAAAAAAACTTAACGCATACGTGCGCAAAAACGCACGCAGCTTTGATGTTGCGCTGGAAGCCGTGCGGTTTTGTTTAAATTTGTCAAATTGAATGCGATCGCATTTACTTACTGGCTAAAATTGTCCGAAGATGTTGAGCGTGGAGAGCGTGTGGTGACCGGCTCTAAATGCCGGCCCATATTTTGCCGGAACGAAAAGCAGGATTTTTGCAGCCAGCCCTCTAGGTGAAAGCAAATCAAGGGCGACGTGAAGGTTCGTGTTTTAGCACCGATTGTGACACTAAACGGTGGCATTTCTCGTCCCTCGGCGGTCGAGGAAAGGGTCTGCTGGCCGCATACACGGGGGGGCTGCGATCGCGAGGTTGGGGGTGTCTGTTTGTGCAACTACGGTCAAGTGAAAAGCAAAGTGTTCGCTTGACCGCTTGTTTTAATTTTCTTTTCAGGGGCCTGCTGGTCCAAAAGGAGATAAGGTACGAACTGCTCTGGGGCTCCTCCAAGCCCCCCCCCGCCCCGTGCACGCATGAGTGCACATGGAAACACGTGCATTTCTGGTCACCCTTGGCACAATTTTAATTCCATCAAATAAAACAAATGTATCTGTTAATTTCTAAAAACTTTTTCTGAAGGGGTAGCTGTTGGGGTATAAAGTTTGCCGTTGATCCGTCTGGCCTGATGTTTTCATCTTTGCCGCCGTATAAGCCAGACACCGGGGGCGCTCTGCGCCAAATTTATTCACGTGTGAACTCCACATCGGCAGGCTCTAAGCCGGCGCACATCCGTCACGTCAGATTCATACGATCTCGCGGGTGCCCTCAAAGGAAAGTAATACAATACCGATCCGCCATGAGCTGCAAGTGCACGCTAACGCAACATAATTTCTATTTTAAAAAAACAATCTCTCCCGAAAATAGTCTTGCCCGCTTGATTGGTTGGGCAGTGATCCAGGGATGCGTAACCCCGGTGTCATCAGCACCTTCAGATCAAAAAACAACCGATGCAGACATGCAGCGTAGATTGTATCCGTGCCAATAAATCCAAATGCATTTTCCTGCACACGCTGATTAATGACCCCTCATGAATCATCGCCCATAACGAAATCACCAGGGACGCACCATCTCGTCAAATCTTGGAAGCTAATCATGGTTGAGCCTGGATAGTGCTTAGATGGGTAACTATCATGGACAAACGTTGTTTTTAGGCGGCTACAGGGCCACATTGTGTGCAGCAGAGAGGCAGTGCAGAAAACTGCAAATTTGTTGCTGTACTCGTATGCTGCCACGTGCATGTTCCCCCCACCTTCACCAACCCGCATCGTGACCAGCGTGGTGAAGCTTGGTCAAATGACCTCCACGGCCAACAATGCCATGGCAGAGTTCTCATCCAGCAGTGGACTGACTCGAAGGGGGGTGACGCTCAAATTCAAAGTTGCTATTTTCGAGATCACGGCCTCCTGGTGGTATTCGTTTGCCGTTGAATCGAAACCACTGGTCAACGGAGTCAAAAAATGCGATGCAGTATATAGGTATAGGCATGGTAATAAGCCGGCTACCGGCAACCAAAATGACAAGAAGAGCAATTTTTTTCCAAGTCGGTAAAAAGAAAATCTATATTTCAAAAGCCGCAATGCACGTGAATACGAGACACGGTCCTTAATGAATAATGTCACAAAGGTCACAAAGGAGGCCTTAAAGAGCCGCAAGTTGCCGAACCCTGTGGTATAAGCGCATATGCTGAGAAGGAAGGGGATTGTGTTCTGAGCAACTTGTAAATGTGAGACAGAGTAGTAGGCTGGCAGATGCAGCTGTTGACTTTAACACCAAAAGTAACAACTTGAAAGGTGTGGGGCCCAGAAAGCTGAAATGCATATAGCGTGACACCCCACTGTACATGAATACAGATGTACAGTACAATGAATCATTGCGGTAGTGCATCGCTTTTCGGACACAGCGAATCACTTTTAAGTTGAACTATGTGGCATGGGACAGATTCCATCCAATCACGGTCACGGTCATGATGATGCGACTGCGAAAAACTTCACGCCAGAATCGCAACACACTCCACGAGCAGCTCTTGATTAAGATACACAAATCAGGTTTTTTTTTACTACGATGGAAAGTTATCGAATTTCAAACAAAAAAGGGGCAATTTAAAATTTGGAATAAACCGAGATATTTCTCCCCCTTTTGATGTCCATTTTAACTCTCCGCCCGTCGTTTTCCACCACTTCACACAATGATCTCCTTCTTTTGCAGGGCGACCAGGGTGACATGGGCGCGAGGGTAAGGTGGAATCGAGGCACCGGCCCGCAGCTGTTTTAATTACGCACGGCTTTTTGAGCCTCGAGATACTAACATTAAAATAACAGCCGTGTGGTTTTTTTTTTCTACTTCAACTTGCCTCCTTTCGGCTCTGGTGGGGTGAGCAGAGAGAGGGTTGGGGGGGGGGGGAAACGGAGAGCTTGGCTCCACTGCACTTGCTATTTTGTTTGATTTCGTGCAGCCCAGAAGTGGCAGCGAGAATTCCGATCCGTCACTTAATTCGCTGCTGACATAATCTGCAAAAGAGGAATGCGGCAGAAGCCAGCAGAGCGCCCAGAACAAACAGAAGCGGGCGTCAATTACGCCGCGCGCATGTGGATCTTGTCTGCGGCTCGCGGAGGATTTTATATTTTTCTTTTCTCCAAATTTGCTGCCAAATTTCCCCAAAACAAAGAGAGAAGAGGTGCAGCCCGCGGGTTGCCGTGGTGAGGCCCCGGAGAGTCCCACCCCCCCCCCCCCCCCCGGTCGGTGGCAGTTTGTCTGGTGGCCGGGCCCTGGTAACCACTCGTCCGTGTGGCTGTTTGCGGTCGAGTCAGACGCGAACAGGCGTCGTGGGGAGTTGGGTTTAGCAGCATCTGCGCTGTTCCACCGCGATTGTACCCGAGCTGAAATGCCGCTGTCGCTTACACAATTCGTCTCACTATTTACCATCCCTGAAGCTACGCAAAAGTTTAACGTGCGCAATAATGGCCTCGTTATGAAAAAAAAATGCTGTTACCGTAATTTAAATAGTTTGCAGCACGGTGGTTGATGCTAAATGAAAAGGAGCCTTATTAGAGATTAAAGCTTCCCAGAAGGCCAGACAGCGAGGGACATCCATTTACCGTTAAACCGTCTGGCTCGCTGTCCCAAATAGGTTCGCTTCATGGCCCCGGGTTAAGCCAAATGCCTAGGCTAGACAAACAGATGAGGTTTCTGTTTAAAATCTCTAAGTAGCATCGGAAAACTGCCCTTTGCTGCCATTGCCGGCCCAAAATCTGTAACGCGAGCGTGGCTTAAATGAGGGCGGCCCTTTAAATGAAGGCTGGGCCAGTGCAGAGGTGAAGGGATTGTGATCGTGTGTCGACCCTCCTCAAATCCGATCACCTCTCGCCCAACTTAAGAACCCTCAAGCCCCTTTCGGCCTCAGCCCCTCAGATCTTGACGGCTGCCAGAACACTGATGACAGGCTTTGCTAGCATTTATTTTGGAGAAAAAGAAAAAAAGCTTCTTGGCAAAAATAAAATTCAAAGCGACTTTGCAAAACAATGCCACCTACGACTAGTGGGGCAGCATTTGACTTTGAGCGAGGCTTTGATCAGAGTGACCGGTGCAGTAGGCCGTGTTGGATTTAATCGTTCCTGAGCGAACCTCGCCCGTGCCACCCACGACAAGCGATCCAGACGATAGCACTGCCTCTAGCGCCCAGGGGAGATCTGTGGGCACGGTACATAGGCTGTGCAAGGGCATGGGGCCGAGGCAATGCATAGTACAGGGCCCAGGCAGTCGCAGGGTACAGGGCCCAGACGGCCAAGGCCACAGGGATCCTGTTCGCTTGAGGCCTGTGTAAAGCTGTCTTCGGCCCAAACTGCAGCTGCTCTTGATGTTCTTGAATAATTTCTGGCCGAACAAAAAAAAATGCCAAACCCACATTCCATCAATTGATAAAGGAGTAAATGGAGCCATGGCGTTAAAAATGAAACCAGTTTTTTTTCTCAGAAAATACTTTGTTGCCCTAGACCTAACATATTGCTTCGTGATTGAATTACGTAATGATGAATTGTGTCTGAGCTTGCATAACTTTCGTTTTTTCTTAACAATTAACGAACAGTTGCTTTTTTTTCTAACGTGATAAATAGGGACCTGGATTTTAAGTGATGAATCAATGTCCAATGTAAGCAACAACAAAAAAGGCAAACGCATAACGAAAACATCACAGAAAATCCGAGGGCCCCAGTGATGAATAACCAAAGCCCGTGTGATGATGTGTGTTTGCATGCCTCACCCATGTTTTGCTGTGCGTTGTGATGTGTTTTTCCCCCCCAACCCCACAATCCCCTCTCCTGCTCATGGCTTTGTCGCGTCACGCGACAGGGCTTACCGGGGTTACCGCCCACACACAGCCATCTTCTGCACAGTAACCAGATCCACATGAAGGTCCGTGTTCCGGGGGGGGGGGGGTTTGGTCATGGGACGGTTTAAGTGCGTGCACACCTTTGGCTTGGGCCACCGCCCCACGCAAGCACAGGTCACGGCACCGCGGCTGGGCCAAGAGCCACTCGCAGAACCTTTGAGTGATATTTTTCCCCAATAAAATTTGGCTACTTGGTTCGTTCAGAAACACTGGGAAATTGCTTGCGGGATTGAGCAGTGGGTTATTTGTTTCTCTTTTCTGCGAATGGACTCTCTATCACTCCGATTGGCCACTTGGGAAAATTTATTGTTTTCAAATCGAGCCGTCTGAGACTCTTTTGGGCTGCTTGTGGCACCACTTCTACGCCATAATTCTGTCTGCCCGTTTAGTGCGGTAGCTGTGAGGCAATAGCTTCTGTTAATAAAATGCAATTATGCAATTTCGATTTGTAAGGCAATCAAATATGACCCAGTTTTTCATCGGTAATGTATTTTCTAAGCCAAAACGATCATCATAAATTGTACCATAGAATTTAAAAACTATTTTCCCCATGCAACAAATGTTGGGCCCCAAAAAAACGCATTTACTTATTTTAACAAATTGACGAATCAAAGAATACAAAATCCACCTCCGTTTTACCACCCACCCACATCGCGGTGGCCGGGCGGCAGACAAAATTTGCGCGTTTGGCGAAAGCCCAGTGACCTGTGTTTAAGTGGTCGTTGGAATCCAGCCATTTCTGTCTGGACCCTGTCAGCGCAGGGGGTCGGCCTCGGTGGCCCCTCGCCCCCCCCCCCCCGTTCCATCTCGGGTTCCATCCGAGACGCGCACAATGGGAGTTTGCCAAGAAAACTGATGACCTCGGCCAGGCTGCCCCGGACAGAGCTCTGCCTCGTTTTAACCAGGGGGTTTCACTGGCCCAGCTTGTCTCGGGCGAAGGTTGGACTCCCCAGCCAAGCCTACGGCAGACGATAAGGAGATCCGTTGACGTTGGGCAGGAGACCAAATGAAGTGGGCGATGGTCAAGATTTTGGCGAAGAGGCCGTGTCGTTCGGACCAGGAGGTTGGCTCCTTAGGATGAGGCCTGCGTGTTTGCTCGCTGCAAACATAGAGCACATTTCTTGAAAACTAAAGAGGCAGTCCCCTATCACAACGACGCAAGCCACAGTTGGAATTTTACATTTATTATTCTCGGGAATTGTAACTTTTTTTGCCCACTCCCTTGCATTCTCAGCGATCTCGGCTCGTTCCACCACCAGACATACGGAGGTCTTGCCAGACAGCCCGTCTGACTGGCTGCATTTTGCAAGCAGCGAGGCGTTAATTAGAGGAATAATTGGCGGGACAGGGGTACATGGAATACATCACCGCGCTTGTCTTTCGCTCGGAGGCGAGCGTGATTTTTAAATCTGTCCGCGGACATGAAGAATTATGAGAGCTTTGAACATGCTGTTACTAAACTGCGCCTATTTTTTCATGTTCATCCAGTCTCCTTGTCTTCTCTACTTTAAACTTGAGGTGATCAGCGTCTTGGCCAAATCTGATTGTGCGCTCAAACAGCCCGGGAGTCGGAATCCACAGGTAATCTGGGCAGCCAATCAAAACACAGGTAATCTGGGCAGCCAATCAAAACACCGACAAATACAGGCGCCCGGAAATTAAAGAGGAAGCTGGAGACCAAATTGATGTGTGGAGTAGGAAAAGTTTTGCTTTCTCCTCCTCCTCCTGCTGCTCACGCTTCTTCGTCTCGTTCTCCGTCTCCCCATGGCGGAGGCGCGTGAATAACGCGCGCGCCTGCCAAAAACACGTGCCAGCGAAGGAGGGGGGGGGGGGTGAGAAAATATGAAACGAACATAATTCTGTAAAAGTGGGAGCTGCTTTCCCCCCCCCACCCCCCACTGCCTCTCTCAACACTGAGGGGATATCAATCACGGCACATTACCGTCTAATTTATGTTCCCTGAAGATTTGTCTAAGGTGCCGACGGTAATCATACGCACCTGTGAGGGTAGCGCTGCATGTGGGACAGGTAACGGTAATTCCGGCACTGAGAGGCGGGTTTGTTGTTTCGCACCTGGATTCCGATTTCCAGACGATTGTGACGTTTATCAAGTACAGGCTTTTCATCTCTCTCTTTACGGCTGTCTTTTTTTTCCCTCCCTTTTACCTTCTGCCTCTCCCGACTCTCTCCTGCCTCTGCCGTTTTTCTCCTCTCCTGCTGCCCGTGCCCCCCAATCCTTTTCGCCTGCGTGACCGACCCTCCGTCCTCTCAGCTGGTGTTTCCTCGAACGGCTTACAGCTTTCTGGCGGCCGACCAGCACATTATTAAGCGACGGATCATGAAGGTAGACTCCAGCGTGCCCACCCTCGGCTGCGCGTGGGGTCACGTTCCCCCCCTCGCCCCCACCCCGCGCCACACCGACGTCTGATCGAAGGCGCTCCGTCGCCCGCCAATGCCCCGTGCCAAAATGCGCGGTCGGCCCTCGCACCCGGCCCGCCTCCGTCCGCCGTCCTGCGATCGTGAGCAGAGCGGGCAGACGACGCGCCGCTCGTAATGTTGCCTGCTGGTCCCCGTTCTGCTGAAAGCTCGCAAATCTATCGGCGGGAGCGTGCGAGCTGCCCCGGTTTTTTGTGCGAGTTAAAATGGCAGTTGTAATCGCGAGGATTGGGAAACATTAAGCAGATGTTATGACTAAATAAATAAAGGCATGTCTACGGTAGGAGCCTCAGGCCTGCACTTTTGGGAAGAAGCATCCATCCGGTCATGAAATTGACATTACTGGCATCGACCAAAACTCTTCATGTCTCCGTATGAATAATACGGAGAGCCGATGCGGCAGGAGTGTGCTAATGTGATGTGCGCGTGCACCTCCTTAGGGAGATGTACGCGCGCAAGGACACGTGCGTGCTTGCAGGTGCACCAGCGCTGCACGAATCTCGCCTCTTGTTTTTCCATCTTCCATCTTCCTTATCCACGTGGCTTTTTGTTCTACATCTGACCTTCAAAGCCGTAGACCTTCTCCGCACCGCGCGTTTCAGATCGGAGCGAAATTAAACTCGCGAGCCAGTTGTCCAAACACGGATCATCACAAACCCATTCTCCTGTCTCCTTCAGCCCAGGAATGGGTTCAAGAGTAATTACAACCAAGGTCGGATAGCATCGAGCTGTAGCTGCTGAGATTCCAGCGATAGCCGCGGCTTTTAACGCGCCCGTCTGCTTCCAGGGTACCCCGTGGGGGGGGCGGGGCTGCGGTGTGTGCACCTGCGCTCGTATTCGGTTCTCGACGATGGTGATGATGATGACGATGATGATGATGACAATGACGACGATGATGATGATGATGACGATGGTGATGATCATGATGACGATGATGATGACGATGATGATGATGACAATGACGACGATGATGATGATGATGACGATGGTGATGATCATGATGACGATGATGATGATGACGATGACGACGACGATGATGATGTGCCGTTGTGTCGCTGTGTCACTCGTGTGTGCCAGAGCAAATTTGCATAATTAATCTGCCGTTATTAATCCATGCGCAAGAAGAAGTTTGCGATATTTGTGATGTATGAGAGGTAATGGTGTCATTTTGTGAAGAACGATGAGCAGGGTTCATTGTTTTCTTAGAACTTGTCAAATATTAGCAACATCGTTAGTAAATTTGGAACCTGAAGAAAATGAAGAACCGAAAAAGCTCCCGGCACGTGGGTCTAACCGTCGGACATAACACGCGGTACCTGAAAACGCATCTGAGAGGATAATAAACTAAACGATTTTAATGTTACCAGGTAAAGCCCACTGAGCTACGTAGCTCTTTTTCCGAAGCAACTTGGCCACAAATGTTAGCTCATCGAAGTGGCTTATCACGTGGAAATTTACAGCAGCCAAATACTCTAAATAATAGAACCCACATGGTCCTCTAGGCCGTGGCACCCTGCGTGAGGTGTAGGGTGGTGGCCAAAACCGTGCGCGGCCTCCGCCCACGACCCACTCGACGCAGAGAGCCGCGTGCCGTGAACGCAGCGGCCAACCAAGTGCGTCTTTGGCTTGATGTCCCCAGGGAGACCAGGGCCAGGCGGGACCGCCCGGACCACCCGGCCCGCCAGGCCCCATCGGTCCCATCGGCCTGCCAGGACCCAGAGGGCCGGCGGGCGATATGGGGAAAGACGGACCCCGTGGCCCCTTGGGGCTACCGGTGAGTGCATGTCTGTGTGTCGGAGTTGTGGGGAGTTGTAGTGTAGCGGGTAGCACGCTGCGCTTGTGAACCCGGTGACCCGAGTTCTATTCCCGCTCACGGCCAACACCAGTGGCGATTATCTGAACTGGTCTTAGGGCTCTCCTAGGTCGACTCAACCTCAAAGGAGTACCTGGTGCGGTTGTTTAAAAACATCGCCACGAGGGAGACAAAGACAGCCAGGCATGGTGCTGGCCAGCCACCCCCTCATGTGCTGTGCTGGCCTTCATAGGTTCTCGCTAAGACCAATTGCCCCAAAAGTTTGTTAAAGCTATACGGGGGGTCTTTGTTGTGTTGCAGTTAAATTCCCGAACACGGCTAGCGTTAGTGGCAAGTGATATGTGAAGCTGTCCTCAACCTAACTTAGGTTGACCTGGTACAGTGTGGAAAATGTACACTCGGGAGATAAAGGTGGCCACCAACCATGGTGCTTTACCCCCTTGATGGACCATGCCAGCTAAACACGAGTTCCTTGTCTATGCATATAAATGTATATGTATTGATGTGTGCATCTGCAAAGCGTGCACATGCATGAGTATGTGCGGTGTGTGTGGCGGTGCAAGGGACGCAGCACATCCCCACATCTGCGCTGCGTGTTTTGCGAGTGCATGAGTGCACGCGTGTGTGCGTGTGTGCGTGCGTGACCCACTTATCCACCTGTGCCCCAGCGCCTTTATCCCTGCAATAACACCCGCCCTCTCATCCCCAATATCAATCCGGAAATTATCTTAAACATTCGCTCGGGAATTTTGCGCGCTTGGCCGGCGAAAACCTTCTCATCGGGATTTTCAATCGCGGGACGTCGGTTTTTTCCACGGCTCTCTTTTTTATTTTTGTTGTCCCAGCCACCCACCACCACCCCCTCCCCGTTCGCCATTCTGGCCTCGATAGGCGCTCGCTAACAGCGCTTGCCCTCTGTGCGCTCCTCTCTTGTAACCCGCCACGCTCCACCGAAATGGCCACAACCACCACCAGCACCGTCCCCGCCACCTCTCTTATAATTGGCCCCCTAAGCAAACCTCACCCTCGGTGTCCGGCGAGGCCCAATTATGTAACATCAGCTGTTCTCGGCCTCGCTCGATCTGCGTTGCACCCTGAGTGAGTCACGCCGTGAGAATGCGGCGCCTAGGCACGCTGCCCCGTGCGCTGCTGCCCACGTACATGCACGTACGTACGTATGGGTACGTTGAACTTATGACGCACCGTACGTAGCCAACCGTGCTAATCGCAGGTGCGATCGGCCTGGCTAGCCGGGTCCAGCCCAAGCTGAGCCGCTCACGCAGTTTGTCGCTCGTGTCTGTTCCTCGGCAGGGTGAGCCCGGTCAATCTGGCAAGGACGGCTCCAAGGTGAGTGAGCGAGCGAGTGAGCGAGCGTTCGTCTGTGCTTAAAGACGTAACCCAAGTAACCCAAATGTCAAGCGGCTTTTGTCTAAGGGGGGACCGCAGCGTGGCGCAGTGGAAACACCTCGTGGCAAGAAGGACCTGCCCAGTGCACATGCCAACGTTGGGCATGTGGTTGGAACCGTTGGTCCAACGTTGGTCAGACGTTGGGCCAAAATGACAGGTTTACTGGGTGGGTTAAATTCGCGGCTAGGACACCTTTCTGTATATGCCCCCCCCCCCCCCCCCTGTTCTGCATGGGGGTTTTCTCTGGGCTCTCCAGTTCCCTCCCCACAGCTCAAAAAATAAGTCAACATACAATGTCACCGATATTTGCCAATAACATCCCTATTCATCAAAAAAATGTCGCTGGCAAACTACTCAATTGGGATTACAACACAAAGCAAACATCGCCCCCCCCCCCCCCCCACTGTGAAAACTTGGCAGGACCCTCCTTAACAAGAGTCTTGAGACTCGGGTGAGGCTTTCCTGGGTAAAGTAAAGTAATAGATTACACACCCTGTGTGAGCTATGTGTGAGCTGCATGCCCTGGGATTCGGGTTGCCGCCCCACTCGTAATTAGTATTGACGCTTCATAAGTCACGCGATTCTCCCGAGCACAATTTCGACTCCTTTAAATAGCCTGCCCCGCATTGGCGCTGCTTTCCCAAACACCTCATTCTCCTAGGATATGACTTTGAAGTTTAACACTGTTTAGTGCCTGATCTTTGCTTGCATTTTATTTTATATTCTACCCGGGCTGTCCCATGTTTGAAGTTTGAAAAAGCGTCGTTGACGGGGTGGGGGAGGGAGTGAAGCGATTTTAATGTCATCGTCATTAAGCGCTCCATAATTTGCACTCACGTGACATCACGAATGAAGGCGTGTGGCAGCGATGTAGCGGTCATGTCACGAGCATGTCAAAAGGGGGCTTTGCAATGACGACGAAGTGTTTAGTCATCATTGCGTACCGATTCTAACTTGTAGAAGAGTTTACTTGGTGGTGATGCTGCTGCGTTGGTAGTCGTGCACAAGCACAATTAACAACAACAAAAAACATGTGCTGTGAATAAGGGACATTTCCTGATACGTCGCCTATTATATATGGCTTTTCTTTTAAGGCCACAGTGTTATTGCCGAATGTGTTGAGTTTCATTTTTGACTCGTGCATGACAGTTCATAACAGTGTATTAAATTTTTATTTAAAGCTTTCGTGACTGCAGGGATTCATATTCTTGGTTATTTCGAAAGAACCAAGAATAACAGTGTATTAGTTTAATTTCTTCGATTCCATCTGTTGTTTGGCCATAATGGCGTAAAATACCCTGCCCATATGTAACTTGTTCGAGAGTGAGAGCTCTGTGAACAAAACAGGCTATTTCCACGAGCTGCGTTGAATTCCATCCCTACTTAGAGCTAACGCGCATACTTATTTGTTACGAGCATCGTAAGGCCAGGAATAACTAAAAAAACAAGGCTGCCACGGAGAGTTCATGCTGCTGGTTAATTTTTATTGACTCCACAGGGCTCACCTGGGCTGCCGGGGCTTCAGGTGAGCGTCGACAACTTTTCTCTCTACATCACTTTTTTTCAAACTCGTTACATTCCACGGGTTTCGTTGCGATCGCGGCGGCGGCTACGGCTGTGCTTGTGACCTCACGCCTCTCATCTGCCTCGCCTCTCATCTGCCTCGCCTCTCATCTGCCTCGCCTCTCATCTGCTTCGCCTCTCATCTGCGATCGTCCGCAGGGGGAGAAGGGAGACGGCGGCCTCCAGGGCAGGACGGGAGAGAAGGTCGGTGCTCTCACAAACTCCATCAAATCATTTGATAATTTTAATTCATGAGCACGTGACGGACACTTTTGTTGATAATTTAATTCATGAGCATGTGACAGACACTTTCGTTGATAATTTAATTCATGAGCATGTGACAGACACTTTTGTTGATCAAATTCTGGATGATCTGTCGGGAATTTAATTATCGAACGTCGATTTAAGTTTCTTGCAATTTTTTCGATTTCTCACGTAACAGTTGTTTTTGCGCTCGTTTCTATTTTCCTTCCCTGCTGTACTTCATCCTGATTTGTTTTGCTTTCGTAATTTTCGTGACCCGGGGCTCACTCTTGCATGTGAGACTCGTCACTGGTGTCTTGAGTTCTCGCCCAGTTAAACAAAATACACTTGAGGGCATCGTAGAGAATGTTTGACGAATGCTTCCCTGCGCTGGTTGGTTGTGAAGTTGGGAAGCGTACACGTGGGAGCATAGCAGTACAGTACAACAATGGATTTCCTACACTGCCCTCTGCTGCACAATGCCGTACCTACGAATAAAGGACACAAGGCACATGCACGGCCGATGTAGATAAATGGAGACATTGTTCGAACGATCGATTGGCCAGATGTCCCGATCCCCCCTTCAGGGATCTCTCTGTCACTGTCCTCGAATCTCGGATTGGGCTTTCACGCACACCGACAAACAGGCTGAGGGTGGCTGTAATTCATTTCACGATTCCACGCCGAGCTCTGTGTAACCAAGACGCCACTCGGAGGGTCACACTTAAACGCAGTTCTGGCTTTATTCTCATTCGTTCGCGAGACGGAACGGGCTCGGTCATTAATCACGAGCGGCGGGGGGAAACGGTCGCTGTGTGCTCGGCACCGCCGGGCAGACGCGGGTTCCCGCGCCCGGCCGCTACCGCGGAGCAGAAATTCCCGCGACCGCAAAAAGCAAAAAAACTAAAACAGAAAATGCTTAATAGCAAATGGTGCAGAACCGTTATATGAATTATGAAGCATTTTTGCACGAGGGCAGAAGATTGTATCTGGTTCCGATCGCTCTCAGGATTAGCTCCTTTTCACAGGAAACGTGTCTGCGCTCAACCGCACGACACAACGTGCGTCCCGTACCCCAGCAGCGAATGCAGTGTTGTACTGTGCTGTGCTCTGACATCTATGCTCCCCCCCTCCACCTCCCCCAACTCCCCCACCTTCACCAGCCTGCATTGACCAGCGAGGTGAAGGATGGTCAAATAGGCCCCCTGACTCGCACTGCGTGGGGACGCAGCAATTGTGTAACGTGGGACCAAAGTTGGCAAACGATGGTCCAAAGGTAAACATGCAGCAACGTTGCATGTTTACTGGGGAGGCCCTCCTGGTGGCCGTAGTTGTTGTGTGTGTGTGTGTGTCTGTGTTTATGTTGCACGTATTCAGCTTTTGCAACGCTCGGTGTGTTGTCTTCTCGCACACAGGGCGAGTCCGGCCTGCCAGGCATGATGGGATGGAAGGTAGGAGGAGATTGCACTCACGCAGGCCATGCAAGTGACATCCGAGTCCATTCACTGGCCACCCTTCTTTTTTATACAGCAGCACGAGGCCGAATGTTATCTCAAACAAGTTGGCAACCATTGACACGCACAAATACCTGCCAGCAATCGCAATATTTATCCCGCTGTGTGAGCAGCGGCGGTTCTTGCGGCCAGGTTTGAGGAGCCGACTAAATTCCGCTCCAGGGTTGTTTTCCAGCCTCGGATGGCGACGCGTGCAGGTGGATCGCTGAGGAACCGGTGGCTTCTCGCATAGAAACCATTCGACTCGCATAGAGAGAGACCCACAGAGATCACAGTGAGAAACTGAAACCTTCTGGCAGCGGGCTTCGTCATCATAGGGACGCTCGCAGCCCGTGCAACTCGCCACGCTAACCTGGTCTGGTGGGGGCCGGGCACTGGACCATTATAATAATGATACCAGCACAGTAATGCCATTTGTTTATCGAGGAAAGTCTGACTTGAGTCTCAAGACTCATCTTCTTGAGGGTCCTGCATGGCGATGTTTGGTCAATTTCACGAATGACCGTTTTGTATCATCGCCATGGTGTTTGTAATGAAAGATATGCAAATCCTGCCCTATCCCAAAGTTACACGATGAATCCATCTGCACGCGTCCACGGATACGGGGATGCGATGAGGTGGGGGGGGGGTTGCGGTGGGGGGGGCGGCTGTCGAGCTGCTGGAGCCGGAGCCACGTGGCGTTCGTGTAGTAGCACAAATTACTCTGTTGACATTGGGCCAATTGGCACAGAGCGGAGTGACGGTAAACAAGAATACTGTTGATTATTGCTTAAAAACACCAAAATAGTGCAAGTTGTATTTTTGATAACCCCACTTTTTAAAGCTAACCCACGCTGCCAGCTTCCACTTTCGATGGTTTTCATCGTATCGTATCCACCCAGGTGGTCACATGACGATTTTCATAATTCACTCTCTCAGCAAAAGCCCACTTTGTTGACAATGAGATGCTGTGGGTTATTAAGTTTCTGCAGGACTTCCACTTCCCTTCCCCCCACCTCAATTGCAGACAGAGCTCATGTGTGACCGTGACATTTCGTCGGCACGTGTTGTGCCGCCACCGTCTAGCGGATTTTACACCCCAACCCCGCACCCCCCGCCCATACGGACCGCGCTATGCAAAACGGCCGAGCTCGTTAGTCTTAGCTGGGAGCGCGCGGGGGAACGCTGACGTGATGATTGCGGCGGAGGCCTCCTGCCCGTAATGGCAAACACGTTTCGCGCGCGACTGTCTCCGCGGAGCAGCCCTGCGCCGGCCTGGTGCTAGTCATTATCGGCCGCTGGCCAGGGGGACGATTAGCGCGAGCTCTTGAAATCAAGGGGTCCCGCGTATCGCTCTTCACTTGACCAAATTCCACCGCCCGAAAGACGGAGACATTTTCTGGAAGGGGGGCGTGGGGGGGGGTGCCTTTCGGACACGCTATCAAAACAGCGGCTTGCGTGACTTAATGCTCCGTGCAACTTCTGGCCGCGATGACCATACGCACTCAATGTTTTCCAGGTCGCTCGTAGACTAGATCAGGCACGTGACTTGCAGCCACAGCCGTAGCGAGCGGTGTACCGGATGTGTTTTTTGTGCCAGGTGTGGGATTTTTATCCCCGGGGTTCGTGGGCCGAGCCTGTGCGTAGGCCCACGCTGCGTGTCGCCGCTGCTTCATGAATTCCGGCTGTAACGTTGCTGCCGATCACTGTTCCCTGCACCTGATCGCCGAGACGCAGCGTGTCGAGCAGCGAACGGTAGCACGTTAATTTTAACGCTTGTTGATCTTGGCGAGAAATACGATGCTTAAGTTCAGAGGTCGGAGGGAGGGGGGGACGCGCGTTTGACAGCGCGACGAGCAAGCCGCTCGCGGCTTCGGCGGCGGCGCGGCCGGAGGGGAATGCGATCGAGGTGAGGCCTTGAGGCCGTTGTTTATTTGCTCGGCGCCACGGGCAGCAACGCGCGCATGTCCCCGGGTACTCGGTTCTGTTTTTAAGGGAAATGACCTCTGGGGGAATAAAAGAAGAAAAAAAACAGAACGGGAAAAAAATGTTCATGCACTCGCACCGCAAAACCGTGTCGGGGAAAAATCGATCGGAATTGTTGCGTCGCGATGCGGGACGGGCTCGCAATTCAGGCGCCGTTTCTACCATCCGCGTGCGTGACCATGAACACGCCACTTCAGGAATCACGGCTGTACCTGTATGGGCAGGTAGAGCCTCCCCACTACCCCCCCCCCAAACCCCCACCCCACCCCACTCCCCCACACTGATCAGGATGTGTAAAGTACAGCGAGAGACCACTGGAGTTCCGTTGAGCAGTGCAAACATGATGACTTGCCAGCACGTGACCGGTGATCATCGAGGTGACGGCTCGCTTTATTGAGTTGAAGGCATTGCTCATTCGATGGTGATGAGCAACCGTGCACGTGGCCTATGAATGTAAAAGTAAACAAGTTAGTTGGTGATGCTGCTGCGTTCGCGACAGCGCAACAAGCACGATGAGCACAAGAAAAAAACTCAACACATTCGTCAACAACACTGCGGCCTTAAAAGAAAATATAAACGAGGTGATATTTCTGGCGATGGCCCTTCTTCATAGCACACATTTGACGGCCTGTGGAGGGGCACGGCGACCAGAAGTCGCGCGCGCTGTTCGCCTGAACTCATTCTTCCCAATACAACACAATGTGGATGTACGTAGCGTCGCATCTGCACAGAAACACTTTATACGCACCCGAGTTTGTATGATTGGCGTGACATCAAGTACATCACCCGCGATTTATTTACTATTACTCACCGGGAAAGTCGCCGGATCGCAAGCCCCAGATTCGCTGGTTTCAACGTTTAACCTCACCCGCGCCCGTGTCCTTACCACCCTGACCCCGGTGGGCAGGATTCCCTCAAGATGTGACCTCTGAAACAACAAAAAACGACAATCAGTCCCGTGAGCAGAACGTTTCCTGCAAATCTTCTGAACGGTGCCATGGGGAAGGCGGTAGCAGTGGATCTCCATGAGTCTGATTGAGGTTCTCGTCGATAATTACAGAAAGTGTTCTAATTTAACATTTACCAGAGGGATGTTTGGCACTTGAAACTGATACATTTGCGACTCACAATCTCATAGCTTTCCCGCTGACAAGTAGTAGAAATTGCAGACGATGTATATGATGTCACGCCAGAAGGAAAAACGCAGCGGGTGTTAAACAGATGCAGGATAAAAGGTTTTAGAGTAAATATGTATGTATGTTGAACTTATTTCGCACCGTACGCAGCTTCTCGGAGGTGTGAAGAAAGGATGAGAAATTAAATATAAAAATAAGTTTTAAAAAATCTATCCAGATTTAAAAGTGCATAGCTCCAGTGGCTTCCTAACATCGGAAGGAAGAGCGTTCCAGACGGCCGCAGAAGCGCATCAGAAAGCGCGCGATGCAGTGACCGTCTTTGTTTGTTCGGTGGCCATCCAAACGCCGCTGCCTGCGAGGATGACCGGAGTTCACGTGATGATGATTTATGCTCCTTCACGAGATCAGCGAGGTATCGTTGTTCGCTTGTGACGAGCACTTTGTGTGTCTGGTGAAGCTGGCTTCACCTCCATCAAATGAACATTGCCTTCAACTCAGTCACGCATTGGGGAGAAAATGACGGCAGTCTGATCCCCCCCCCCCCCCCCACTATGCTTAGTTAGTGCGGTTACGGCCTGTTAAAAATCATGTCTCTCTCACGCTTGCGGGGTGCAGATGAAGGCAACCACCGCGGCCCGGCGGCTCGCGTTTCATCCGTGATGAACTTGTGTGTTGCCTAAACAGCGCTCTCATCAACGCACGTGTTGTTACAACGGCTCGCGGCCAGAGGCGCGGGTCGCGTGTTACCGCGCTGTTTGAGGGCGCTCACCACGTGGGGAGGGCGCGAGACCCGCGCATCTGGGGCCGTGGCGATGGGCCGAGGGTGGCACTGCCACCCACGCTGCCTTGGGGGGGGGGGTAGGCAGAGCCGGCCCAGCCACTAAGCGACCCTTGCAATTGCAAAGGGCCCCGTGGCCAGCAAAGGGCCCCCTAGAGTCACTGCTAACTAGTGGGTGAAAAAAATCATACATCAAAGGGGCCTCCAACTAAATTTTGCTTAGGGCCCCCAAAGGTCTAGGGCCGGTTCTGGGGGTAGGGATCGACAGCGCCGTGAGATGCAGTACAGCAGGAGGAGGTTAATGACCGAGCTCTATCGAGAGTTATCCCCGCATACGAGTGGGTCCTCTCCGGGTGCACGTTTTCTCCCCTCCCACCCCCCAAACACACGTGAAACGTGTTCCCACGCTCGTTCAGTCTCATATTAGTCCTCCTGGAGGGGACGGGGTAAGAGTCCGTAACGTCCCCGTCACGGTCGCGTCCGCGTCGGCCGCTACGCTGTGACATCGTTGGCCGTGTCTGTGTCGCGCTAGGGTGAGGTTGGACCACCCGGGCCAGCCGGACCTCTAGGCATAAAGGTACTGCCGCCCCAAACTCACTCTCCCGCTTAATGCTGCCTCTAACTCGCCCTCCCCGTTAGTGCCACCACTAACTCACTCTCCCCGTTCCTGCCAGGCCGCTTCTGAAAGAGCTGATAGCTCAGTGGGCTTTACCTGGTAAATAGAATAGTAAAATAGTGAATAGTTACTGCCGCCACGAAAGCACTTGCTGTGTTACAGCTGCTGCTGCTGCTAGCGAGCATGCTGCATTTACTGCTGCTGCCAATACACCCTTCACGTGAATCCTAAAAAACACGCAGAAAATGTAACTGGTATTGACCAAACATCCCAAAGTGTGAAAATTCACCTGTAAATCTGCTCAACTAGGATTACACAGAGCAACATCGCCCCCCTACTGCCAACAGAGTCTTGAGACTCGGTGTCGCTAACCTGGGTAAATAAATGTAACAATGAATGTAAGAAGATAGCTGCAAAGCTACTACTCCTATCAATGAGCAAACTAAGTTAATGTTGCTGCTAACTCACTCGCCGTGCTTGCCCCGCTTAGACGAATTGCATTCGTGCCACCTCCCCACTCGTTTTGCCGCGTGTTGCCGTGTGTTGTGTTGCCGCGTGTTGCCGTGTGGTGCCGTGTGTTGTCGCATGTTGCCGCGGTTTGCCGTGTGTTGTGTTGCCGCGTGTTTCCACGTCGTGCCGCGTGTTGCCACGTGGTGCCGCGCGTCGCCGCGCCGCTGCAGCTATTTGCGAGCACGCCGAGGTGCATTGCTCCAACATCCAACATCTTTGTGTTGTCCCCAAGAAGAGCCGAGCCGAATGTTTGGATTGAGCTCCTCAGCCCCGGCCTGTTTCCTGTGCGCACGTGACTTTATCAGCTCAGAGGGCCCGGGCACTTGTAGTTTCTGCCAACTGGCTTGTGTCGCGACCACTGGGCTGGACTAACACCAACAACAATTTATTTAAATGTATTTTTCGTGTTGCTGTTTTTCTTTTTCTCTACCCTTCATCTTTGTTTTCGGGCTCCGTCCTTTTCTCTCTGTCTCCTGCTCCGTTGTGTGCGTGCGCTCGTGTGTGTGTGCTCGTGTGTGTGTGCGCGTGAGTGTGTGCGCTCGTGTGTGTGTGCGTGCGCTCGTGTGTGTGTGTGCGTGCTCGTGAGTGTGTGCGCTCGTGTGTGTGTGCGTGTGTGCTCGTGTGTGTACCTGTGCCTCTCTGCTCGCAGGGGGAGAGGGGATATGTAGGCTTCCCCGGGAAGCGGGGAGACAAGGTGGGTACCCTACGCCGGCCGCTCTTGCGAAGGCAACACAGATAGCGGGAGAGGAAACAAAATTGCCATTGTTTTTTGAATATATATGTTTCAAACATTTTGACAAATATACGCTATGAAATTGAAAATGTTCTTCACCAAGCTGATATAATAAATACGTTGAGTATATTTTAATGCCATATATAAATGCATGACTGGATCTTTCGGAAGTATTCTTCGGAATGTGGCTTACACATTTAGTTTGAACATTTGAGTTTATCACATGAGCTTATTGTATCACTTTATTGAAAAAAATGATACATTATTCATAGAGTTATGTCAGTCCACTGCTAAATGAAGGCTACTCCAAGTCTGCATCGGCAATGGTTGTTTGACCATACTTCACCACTTTGGTCAGTGCAGGCTTGTGGAGTGGGTACCCAGGTCCAGTTCAGTTGTCGCCCTGGCCAGGACTCACACTCGGGTTAACGTTGCCGTGTGCTTACAACTGCCCCGCCATTCTACCCCTTGACTTTAATAGATGAGTTTCAGAATGTGGGATTATTGTTATTATTATGACATGGGTTGGCCACATGGATTAGCATGGTTGGTTACGTACGGTGCAAAAGATGTTCAGCATACATACATACATACAACAAGCCATTTCAGATACATACGTCACAATCATCACATCATCATATCATCATCGCATCATGCCGCCATCGCACCATTGACACCATCGCATCCCCAATTAGCACGGTTGGCTACGAGTGGTGTGAAAGAAGTTCAACATACAAATACGTACGTGGATTAATTTCTTGGATTTCATTACATTTGGGTTTAGCCACGGGGGCTTATCGCGACCGCTAGGCGGGAGGTGAGCACTCGTAGCCGGACGTTATCTGGGCCCTCTAGGCCACGGCTGACGCAGTTTCGTGGCCAACCCCGGAACTGTGCGGGTCCACCGTGGCCCAAGAATGCGCTTGACGCAGGAGGCGACGAGCCGAGCAGACAGACCGACGTACCGTCGCCCTTGCGTTTGCTCCACTATGCTCAAAATGTTTTTTTCCGCATCGTTCCGCGGGGGTAAAGCAGCGGACATGTGAGGTCGAAAGGCCGCCCAAGTCCGACTTGGCTTTTCAGTTCACCTTGTCTACGCCCACATCATCATATCGGCCGTGTTGGGTCTATCCGCTGCTGGATACACACGCGACGCTCATCAACTCTTTACAACTCTGGGGCAATGAATGCAAATTCCGCATTCCTATGGTGGGGCAAATCTACGCAGAGGACGGCTGCGGTTAAGTTCCCACAATGTGATACTCGTTCGATTGAAACCGGGGGCGGATGAAAGGCTGAGCTTGACCCCCTGACCGGGTTTTGAACTTTAAAACCCTTCCGATTGCGATTGGGAGCGGCCGCGATTTTGCTCGCACCGCACGGACCAGCCGGATCCGGGTAATTAATTCTGTTAGACTCATTCCAAATGTTACTAGGTTTTTTTAGTAAGCGAACTTTCATTCGAGTTTTTGTGTGTGCGTGTGTGTAATTGATCCCACGAGTTGACGAGTATTTTTATTGCCCCCGACGCAGGTTGTGGCACACTTTGAGCCGGCGAGCAAGTTCGCACGCGCGATCCGTTTAAAAAATAACAATAATAACTTCCACACCGAGCACGCCTCCTGTGATCCCCTGGTCACACAAGAAAACACGTGGAAGCCACGTGCCGGGTCAGCGACACGCGGAGGAAGCGTTCGCTTCCTCCGCACAAGTCGCGGTCGGCGCCGCGGTCTCCGTCAAATTTGAAGTAACAGGCAACGCTCGAATGCCGTAACAAGGCCCCGGGATTTAGTGGGTTTTTTTTATCACCGTCACGTGTCAGTTTCGACTTTCTCAATCGTTGAGGATCGACCAAAATGCACCGTCGCCACCGCCGCCGCCATGCCAGCGTGGACGAAAAAGTCACTTCACCTGAGCGCGTCCGACGCCGTGGCGCTTTGCGAGCGTTTCTCCCTCGTCCAGAAATCCGGACAAATTATTTCCGTGTGAATTGCAGTCAGAATCGGTCCACATACTCTGTTCATGTACAGGCCTTTAACAATCTGAGGCTGAATGAGGAGCCCTCCACCATAGCGGGTTGCTCGTGGGAGTCGGTCGACCGTGACTTCTCCATGATGATCGTTGCTGATTAGTGAAGCAGCGAGAGCAGAGACCATCCACTGCTGGATGAAGGCCTCCCCAGGCAGTAGCATACCTATGAGACGATTACCCTCGTGGCTATTGGGCAGACAGCTGATGAGATGGCCTAAACTTGTTCTGAACAGGGTGCTGTGCACTCTGGAGCGATTAAATCCCACCCACGGTGTGCGTGTGGGCGTTAGGCACTAATTCAGACGTTAAGCTTCCCTATTTATAAATTACAGTTATTATTTTTCGGCTCACTGTTTTTTTTCTGAAGGGGATGTATACACACACGTGTGTGCGCGTGTGTATGTGGGAAGCGGTAGTGTAGCGGTTAGCGCGTTGCGCTACGAACCTGGAGACCCGGGTTCGATTCCTGCTCATGGCCAACACCGGTGACAATTATCTGAACCGGTCTTGGGCCTCCCCTAGGTCGACTCAGCCTCAAATGAGTACCTGGTGCGGTGTGTAAACATCGCCACTGGGGAGAAAAAGGCGACCGGGCCTTCATAGGTGTTCACGAACAGCACTTGCCCCAGCAGTATGTGAATGCTATACGAGGGATCTTTGTCTTTGTAGTCATTCATGTAAATGAAAAGTGGTGCCCATTGTGGTTCGCAGATTGAGATTTTAATAGATCCTTAGCCCAACATAAGTGACACATTTGAGAGGATTCTTGTTTATAGTGGCAAGGGGTTATCTGACTCTGTCTCTGCCCTCCCCTAGATCGACTCAGCCTTACAGGAGCTTGTCGTGCCACATGTAATCATCATCATCACTGGGAAAAGGCCGCATCACCCTCTCGTGTAACGTTCTAAACTCAATCGACGCTTCGGCGTCGAGGGAGGGGTCTTTGAGTCGCCCTTCTCACAGTGTGGTCGGCTAGTGGGGGGACAGTGGTCTCACCCCTATTGCAGCGGTGAAGCGGAGTGGAGCGGAGTGACGCGGGTGACGCGGAGTGACGCGGGGAAGCGAAGTGAAGCGAAGTGACGCGGAGTGACGCGGAGTGACGCGGTGAAGCGGAGTGACGCGGAGTGACGCGGTGACGCGGAGTGACGCGGGGAAGCGAAGTGACGCGGAGTGACGCGGAGTGACGCGGTGAAGCGGAGTGACGCGGAGTGACGCGGTGACGCGGAGTGACGCGGGGAAGCGGAGTGACGCGGTGAAGCGGAGTGACGCGGTGAAGCGGAGTGACGCGGAGTGACGCGGGGAAGCGGAGTGACGCGGAGTGAAGCGGAGTGACGCGGAGTGAAGCGGAGTGACGCGGAGTGACGCGGGGAAGCGGAGTGACGCGGGGAAGCGGAGTGACGCGGAGTGACGCGGAGTGACGCGGGGAAGCGGAGTGACGCGGAGTGACGCGGGGAAGCGGAGTGACGCGGGGAAGCGAAGTGACGCGGAGTGACGCGGGGAAGCGGAGTGACGCGGGGAAGCGGAGTGAAGCGGAGTGACGCGGGGAAGCGGAGTGACGCGGGGAAGCGGAGTGAAGCGGAGTGACGCGGAGTGACGCGGGGAAGCGGAGTGACGCGGGGAAGCGGAGTGACGCGGAGTGACGCGGGGAAGCGGAGTGACGCGGGGAAGCGAAGTGACGCGGAGTGACGCGGGGAAGCGGAGTGACGCGGGGAAGCGGAGTGACGCGGAGTGACGCGGGGAAGCGGAGTGACGCGGGGAAGCGGAGTGACGCGGGGAAGCGAAGTGACGCGGAGTGACGCGGGGAAGCGGAGTGACGCGGGGAAGCGGAGTGACGCGGAGTGACGCGGGGAAGCGGAGTGACGCGGGGAAGCGGAGTGACGCGGGGAAGCGAAGTGACGCGGAGTGACGCGGGGAAGCGGAGTGACGCGGGGAAGCGGAGTGACGCGGGGAAGCGGAGTGACGCGGGGAAGCGGAGTGACGCGGAGTGACGCGGGGAAGCGGAGTGACGCGGGAAGCGGAGTGACGCGGGGAAGCGGAGTGACGCGGGGAAGCGGAGTGACGCGGTGAAGCGGAGTGACGCGGAGCCACATGTTGGGTCACGTCACGAAGGCGCCTCGGGGTGGAAGGGGAGAAATCCACAACACAGGGTGACCTCGCCCGGGCCCCGTTAACACCTCTCACCAAAACATCTCCGCTCATGCCGCTTTCGGGGGCCTGCCGCCGAGATTTATTGCCGGAGAAAAGTGTTAGCAGCACAGGGCACAAAACAACGACCTCCATTGTTACGTAACGAGCTCGAAGTTGATGTAAAATGATTACGCGAGTGAGTTAAATTGGCAACAGCTGACCTGAACTTCATCGCGATATTTATTACGTCGCGGTCAGTGGTCTCTGCAGAAAGGGGGGGGGGGGGCAGGGGGGAAAATGTAGCAGCCAATTTGGAAATGTCTGCCGTAACGCCGTGGAAAAGTTTAATTTCCTTGACTGCCAATGAACAGCGGACGCACGAATACAATTTTTATATTTCCTCCTTTGAAGTTCAGGCAAAAGGCGCTCCTTTTTTGCCGAGCACGGCATCGCGGCTCAAATACAGATGTGTAATAATAGACACCGGGATTTGTTTTTTATTAAGCCGTGAGAACAAACGAAAATCACCAGAGGCAGATGTTTCACGAGCGGCAGCGGCGGCGGCGGCGCACGCGCCTGTTGGGCAGCAACCGTGGCCCGCGGGGCAGCGCCGCGTTCGCTCCTCGCGATGGACGTGGCTTCATTTTGAGATTTTTTTTTTTTACAATCCCGGCTGAACCGACGGCCGCAAAAATATCCGCACGCAGGTGTGCACTGCTCCCCCCCCCCCCCCCATCATCATGCCATCATCGTATCGCACCGCCGTCGCACCATTGCCACGGTGGTTTGGTTTGGTTTGCTAG